AACAGATATTCCCTTTACAAGTGAGCAAGGAAAGCTTAGTCACTCCCAATATCTCGAGACCAAAGAAAGGAACACAAATCTTGACTTACCTGGGTCTGATCTGACTGTAGATAGTACAGAAGGCCATTGTCAATATGCTTCAGGTACCTGCAAAGTGGAAAATGTGATATAAGAATGAAAGTGTAAATTGCTGTCCGTTTTCCAGCAAAAAGAAAGAAAGACAGGCAGCACATAAGCACCTCTCAGACATAAGGAGCGTGTACAAGATCACCTGTGCAGAATGTTCCATTGATGACTGCATAACACAATAAAGACCAAGCGCATTATTTTTATTCAGCTTTTAGAACTTTCAAATTTCAACCGAATATCTAGATAGATTTCCACACAGACCTGACCACTAGGAGCTTTTCCAGATTTAAACTCAAGGGGCATTATCTTCTCATTCCCTGTGTTCATGTCAGATTCAACTATCACTCTGACTGAAGCATCAATCATCCCTTTCAGACCATATTTAGGGGCCCATGACATCTCCTCAATATCAATTACCTGAGGTAAGAAATTTGTTTTTATACAAAATAGAAGTCCCATTGGAGGAGATTGCTTAATAAACAACGATTATTATGCAATGATGTCAAATGGAATCCTAAGAAGACAAAAAGGGAGAGAGTTGGAAGAGCTCTAACCTCTGATATCTTAACTATTTTCTTCCCAATGGTAGAACCAAAATCAACAATTGATACCCCTGGGTCCTGTTTATAAACACCATGCCATGAGTTAAGGATGTTTCTGCCTTTCTATAAAAAGAGAGAGGAAATCAGACATAGAAGAGAAGCATGCTCAAACTACCCCAAAGATTTCAGTATCTTGCACAGTAAAATAAATGTAAAAGTGACTGCCAATACGAGTTCTGTACTTTGTAATTGGATATCTGTAGGTGAAAGGCAGCATAACAGATAACATGAAAAATTTGTGTTTACCAAACAAGGACATCCACGAGAAAACAAGTCCAACAAACATAAGAGCATAACGCAGTAATATGTACACGGGACACTATGAAAATATTTGAAGAACAGCCAAGCAGAAGAGTAGCCAAAACAATTACGTCCATTTTAAGGAAATAGTGATATAACAGCCATGAGTAACTCGAGAAAGAATCAAAAATAGGAAAATACAAGTGTACCTTCGAATATCTAAAATGCTGAATCCAATTCAACATTTTCGGGATAGCTTTAAATAAAGTTGATCTCACGTCTCCTTCATGCACTGTAGAGAACATATAATCAAATGCTTTTCATTGGGTCAACTCTTAGCATTTTCGTATTAAAAGCAGAGCTAAATTTTGAAGTAATGTGAATCTTAAAAGCACATAGAACAAACAGGTATCATTGCCATTTCATTTTAAAATTCTAATGTTAATAAGAGGTATCCTAGCTATATTAACTCAAAATTCTGATATAAATAGGAGTTATCCTAGCTATATAGGAACACGTAATGTAGTAACCAACCTCCACATGCATATAAGCTCTCAATACTTTGCTCAATCACTATGCTTGCATATTCCTGCAAACCATCTACAGATGGAGACTCTTGCGTGAGACCAGCCTGGAAAACAAAGGAAATGGATAGCACAGATCAGTACATTGCAAGAAATAAAACAAAAACACTCATTTTCCAATAGAATAGTCTCGTCAAAGATTCCATAATGTAGTAAACCTGAAAAACTTGGTGTTGCAAGGTTCCAAGCAAGGCTACTGTAGCGTGTTCATTGGATCTGAGCCTCTCATCTAGTACGGTTCGCCTTGGGCAACCAAAACTTGCGGCAACCTGAAAGGTAGGACAGTTATTCACAACAAAAAAAAAAGGAAAAACTAAATTAAGTGCAAAGAAGATTGGTATTTGTAATCAGAGTCCATAAAGTGAAGACGGAAATATACCCTAGTTCCAGCAACAAGGGTATCAGGATGAACAATTAAGAAATTGTTTTGACGGTCCACGTCACACTTGCCATCCCCATCAAACTCTCCAATAACATTGATTGAATCTCCTGGTGATACAGTGCTGTAAAACCTGGTAACAATAAGCCTTCAGTGTACAGGAGTTAAGTTTCAACCAACTGGGAAATGAATAGATGATATTTAATTGCCCCATACGCTAAGAGAATAGAAAGATAAACAACAAGAAAGTGTGTAGTGTGCAATCAGCCGACATTTGGAAACTAAAAATGGCAAAAGCATTCAAGACCAAGAAATCCAAGAACAAGGCGTAATAGATTCATCAAACATTGAATGGAAAAGTAAGACCACTTGCTATTTTTGAAGTAATTTGATCTGAAAAGCAGAGATCACACTAAATTTCATCCAAAATAAAGTACCATTCATCCCAGAGATACAAAGCACATTCCACTCCAGTGTGCTCATCTAGCAGGCGAAGAACCTGAGAGAAATTTAGTCAGCAAATATGAGCATGTACAAGAGAGAAACCTACGTATACATGACGAACCTTATAAGGACATTGACCATTAGATGAGCCACCCGAGCCACGTTTCTCTGATACCTGTAGTACAACTCTGGACAATGAGTAACTTTTACATGAAAACCACATTGCTACCCCAAAGGATGATTAAGGCCAACTTTACCTCCAATACAAGGAAATAGCTCTCTGGATTTATGGAAGTATGCATTTTTGGTAGAGTAACTGGCCCTTCATCTACAGCGCAATCAACGACAGAAGAGCTGATATCATCTTTAACTCGAACTTGGGGGATCACAATCCCCACATCATCAGCTGTTTTGTCATCAACTGTGATGACATCCTCCACTTGATCTAACAGTTCAAGCAAGGCCTACAAAAAGAGGCAATATGATGAAATAATATTTTGACACGCTGTAGAAAACAAGTTCTACAGGAAATAATGCATGTAGTCTTGATCAACCACAGGTGGAAGTGACAAAACGTATTACATATATTCTAAATACGCCTTTGGTAAGCATCTAAAAGACTGCATCAAGTCTCAAATCATACCTTTTTATGTTGTCCAGCCCCCGCAGATCCACAAGCTCCGCTGCATGTTACAGTACAAGGAAGCTGAACATAAGCAGAGCAAAGTTAAGAAGTAGATAAAATGTGCTCATAAATCTATTTATCAGGAAAGTAATTTACCTTGTTGTGAGGGCATGAAAGAGACGGTGGGGTCTGGAAAGGACTGTTTCCACTACTTGAAGTGTTAACAATTTCAAACTCCGCATCTGGGGAAGGATTTACCCTTTCCATGACCCTATTTGTTGCAAAAGCTGGTCTTTTGAAAGCTTTTTTTGAGGGGGAAGATAACCACTGCTCAACCTTGGAAGTTATGCCTGATGTCGGACATTGTTTCTGCACTAGTTGCTGTCAGTTTTGATGTGAAGAAGGGAAATGAAACAGCTACCGAATCAAGAATTAGTTTTAAATAAACAAATTAAAGCCGTAAACATGCCTTGTCCAGAGAGCAAGGGCGAATGGTAGAAGATTTAACCCCTACTGGATTTTCTGTCAACTCCATCATCTTAGGAATTTGCTTAGCAGCTGCGCGAAGTCTTTCATTTACAGGAGAGAATTTCCAAGTTATCTCTCCACCACAGTCATCTTGACTTTGCTTTATCAGCTATCAACATAAAAGAAGCGTGTAAGAATTATACGACCAAAAGGGACTCAACCATGTGGGCAGATATTATAGGGTAAGTAGAATCTTGCAATTACATTACCCAGCAATTCAAACTATAAAATTAGTATATAAGGGAATATAAGAAAAGAAACTACCATTCCAGGAGAGAATTTGGAGCGCTTAAGGTTTTTGGAGATCTCAGGAGATGCCTCCGGGAGTTGCTGGTCCATATCCTTGGAATCATCAGGTTTCTCATCCAATGTGCCTAGAGGGTTTTGAGGTGTTAAAACTGCAGTGTCAGAGGGAAGACCATTCACATTCTGTTGCTCAACTGGGTTGGCAGTGGAGGTATGAGAGTTGGAAGTTGATTGGGAGTTCTGAATATGTCGAAGGAACAACTGCTGGATGCCAAAGTTGGAAGGTTGTGACGGATGATTGGCTGAAGATTGTTTGTTTGATTTCAAAGCTGAAGACTTGGGCTTCTTTCTTGGTGGCATTTCCAATGGCTAATACTTGGCACCCTGAAATTTTGATGGAACTGTTAAGAAACGAAAATTCTGATGGAGCTGATAAAACTTTGTGCATATTAACTTTGCATTAAACTTCATATAATCTTCATTGATGCAATGTAATAATGTCTTACGGATTCTTATATATCTTAATCTGAAACTCCAAACAACAAGGTATATAAGTAAAATACCTTTCTCACGATCACGCTCTGAGAATCAAACAACAAATCCTGAAAGTAGTTGACGAAGCATCCACGGTAACTCTGAAAATCCAATCAATTTCAAAAAACCTAGACCCAAGAGAAGCTTCCATAAACGAACTTGGCTAGCTCTGAAAATCGCAGACAAAGTTGAGAATTCAGAACGAAATGGAAAACCACCACAATCTACATGAATACTGTTCACGAATTGATAAAGTTAAAACCAGATTTCGTAAACTAACCAGAGACGGCGAAGTAGAAAGCAATAGCGACGGTGACGGCGAGTGAGGCAGTGAGAGACTGAGAAGTGAAGGTTCTTCGGTGCCTCTGAAAATCAATTTCAACCAAACCCCGCGTCTTTATTCACCGTAAACCGGAAACAATCCGGTTCAACCAGCTGATTCGGTCTGGATCCCAATTAATGTCCTTAACCCGGTGTAAAACCAGAACAAAACCACTAAAAACCGATGACCCTTTTTCAATAGTTAATATTAGCTTGTTGTGGGGAGAAAATGAAAAAAGAGTAACTTTCCGAGGACGGACGACCAAAATTTACATTTGTAGGGTTTTAGAAAATGTTCTTCACTGTTTGGAGCTCCGAAGAACACTATCAAGTTTCAACCTTGGCATCCATGGCGAAGCACCTAACCTAATTCGTTTACTCAGTCTTAATTTTAGTTTCTTAGTTTCCTCTATCTCCGTGGGTGGCTCAGTAGGTGAGTTTTCAGAACCTGATTTTCAGATTCCTTTGAGTATCTCCTCTGCAATATCATTCCATCGATTTACAGGTGGGTTAGTTTAGTTTTATTCCAAATTGAGCTTCCAGATGCATTCGAATTCAAGACGAGCCAATATTTTCTGTAAAAGAAGTAAATTTTGTTATGATCACATCGTGGGTTTGAGTTTCGAAATTCGATAATCTTTTCAGTCCTTTGCATTTCCTTAGCTTACCAGCTGCCAATTTGATATCATGTTGGCAATTAGAAATTATTGACTATTGGCACAAGCTTTTAGCTACTCTGTATCTTTTGGATTGTTATTGAGAGAAGTCAAGTTGTTTGCCTTCTTTATTGCTTATTCCAAATGGTTTCGTTTTCTGGGCTATAAGAACTCTTCGATATGTTGGGATGCAGTAATGGAATGAACTCTAAATAAAAGCATACTTTTGTGACAAAGCTACTATCCTTATTGACTAGTGACCTCCATGTATAATTTCATTTTATCAGTTAGATAGATCATATAATGTTTTTATGAGCTCTATGACTGAATTATTCTGTAGGTGGGTGCAGATACAATGTTGAAGCAAGTGGTTGCCAAGTATTCCATAGGTAAAGCGGCGATTTATGGTAGTACCAGAGAAAAGCTTAGACCTTTCCTGTGCCAAACCATTTGTCGGTTCCACAATGCACGGGTATTTCACCATTCTTCCACTTGCGTTACTTTACCGAATAGTTTGATTTTTAGTAGAATTATTAATCAGGTCTTGTCCACTTCCTTCTGACTCCTGTTTGATTGAATATCTCATAACTAGATATGCTCGGAAACTATGTTAAATGTGGTTTATCTGACGCTAAACCACTCTCTGTAGCTTTAGTGCTGTTTGCTAGAAAGAGGTTTGATGGATTGTATGAGCAAAACCCAAATTAGTTAAACGCTGAGTTATTGAAATTGTAGCTCATTAAAGTAATTGACTGGCTTTTCCTACCTCTCAATGCTTTGTTGGTCTTTGATAATGTCAATACTTTTAGTCTGGTCATTTAGTTGAGTCAGTATGCAATAGCTACATGGATTTTATTAGATTTATGGAGCCTACTATGCAACCATTAAGTTTCAGCTCTGTTCTAAGTATTGAGTCTTTCGTTGAAGGCTTGAAGCTACTGTTTCTTGGTCTTTTGTATCTGTTTTTAATTTGACTTGGATTTGCATTCTTGACAGACTGTTTTTGCACCAAGAAGCTTCTTTGGTGTAGAAGACTACGTGGATGATGACACAAGCCGGCCTTACACATACCAAAAAGAGAAAAAGTCGAAGAATCCAGACAAACATGTGTCGTTCAAGCAACGAACAGTCGCATACATGGAGCCATTCACTCTAGATGTCTTCATCTCAAAGCGCTTTGTTTCGGCATCTCTCACTCACCGTGTCACATGTAGGCAAGTTGCTGTTGCGGGAACAAACTCTAAAGACGTAAAAGCTGTTCTGAGGTCAAGATGTGATATCCCGGCATGTATGTCCATAGGGAGGATCTTGTCCGAGCGTGCAAAAGAAGCTGATGTTTACACGGCTTCTTATACGCCAAGGGACCAAGACAAGTTTGAAGGGAAGATCAGAGCTGTTGTCCAGTCCCTTATTGATAACGGAATTGATGTTAAAATTTATCTCGATTAGAAACCAAATGTTTGTTGTGTCTGTGCTGAAATTAGGGTTTGATTTCCATTTTCCTAGCAAACCTTATTGATTCAACCAGAAACAAACTAAACCCCAACAATTCATGGAAAAAACGAAACATATGACAAAGTCTATTTTGAAACTGGAATCCCAAGCGAGTCAATTACTTTTCAAATCTCTTTTTGGTTCTAATACATTAGACTTCCTTTGAATTTTGGGAACACAATGCATCAGCTCTGAGAAAATGCCGCCTCTAGTTGAATTCTTATATAATACTTTTATGTTGGCGGCAAAATAGTGACATGTAAAAAGTGTGCAAGATAGAACAAAGCGTAGAACTACATTTTTGATTTTCGACAAGTGTATGACCATCCAATGTAGAACAAACAATACTCTCGTTTTCATAATAAATACAAAGAATAAACAAAACTAGGTATACAATTTAATAACAGAAAAATAATTATGAAAATCATATAAATTTTTATATCAAATTAAGAAAAATACTTTATAATTTTCAAAATTATAAACTCAAAAATGTAAACCCTAACTAATCCTTTTTTTGGTAAGGAAACCCTAACTAATCCTTAATACTTAAGATTGTTTACCTTAAATTAAAATTCAAACAAAATCTAGTCTAATTAAAAAGTTGGGATTAATAAGCTTATTTTTATATAATTAAGATTTTTAATTATTCCTAACACAAACAAGATTTTGCGGGAAAAAAAAAAGGAAATTTATGAGAGAATAGGAGAAGCAGAGGAGGAAGGAACATTCGGAGAAACGAAAGAACTTGAATAAGGTTGAATTGAAAGTAGAAACCTTTTTTCTAATAAAAGTGTTAAAAGTGATCAAAAGACGTTTCCTTAAAAGTCGAAAACGAAACGCGTTTTGAAATCCAAACACAAACAGGATTCAACTAAAACCGTTTCTATTTCTTGGAAGGTCGAACCAATTTCCTGAAAATTCTTCTTTGCTTTTCTTTGAATTAAAAAAGAAAACTTCTCTTTTTTTACGCGTATGTATATCTGTTCAATATAATATATAGAGAGAGCTAGAGAAGTTGCAGAATCCTGTGTTAATCATATAATCTGCATTGTGAAATCTTCTAGGGTTTGATCTGACTCGAAATTTGGGATTTTTAGGGTTTTAATCTATATAGAGAGAGAGACAATGGGAGGTTGTTTTTCTGGAGATGTGGAAGGAGGCAAACAAGCCATTGGAGGGGTCCAGCAGAGACCCACTTCCTCATCCATCGCCAACAATGCGGCGCACAACGACGCTGTCGATTTTTTCTTCAGATCTCGTGGTCAATATCCTCTCTTTTCTCAAATCGAGGTACTAAAGTCAGGGTTTTTATGTTTGTTTTGCTGTCGAATATGATTTTATATATGTGGTCACACTTTGATAAGTCAACCAAGTTAACAAATTGTGAATTATATATTGCTAAAGTGAATAAAACATTAGCCTAGTTCCTCGATGTCTGGTTGGAATCGTCGTTTGTTTTTTGGCTTTAGGGATCTTTGTTCTTCTTTTTATCCATAGTGGATAAGATATTCTACATGTTTTGTACTTTTCTAATGGAGCTCACTCATTGACCTGTGTTCAGTCTTTGTCCATGTTTTTCTCTCTCTCTTTTGCGTGCGTGGGGTTAGTTTATTGAGTTGAATCTTCTTATGTGGGGTAAAGTGTGTTTTCTTAATATTTATCTTTAGCTTATTGTTTGGTTTCTGAGAAAGTAGGCCATGTTTTCCAATGAAAACTATAAATTAAAGTAAATTGCAATGAAACATACCACAAGAATACTATACTACTAGTCTGCAACTTCCTTCAGTGCAACCATTCAATATTTGCACTATTTCATAAGAAAAGAAAGATGAACTTCTCCTTCACATTTTTTTTTCTGACTTAAGGTTTTCTCTTTCTTTTGCTTATGAGTTTACACTATTTCTTTTGCATTTTTATATTCATGAACTATCTTAAATCTTTTGTCGCAGGTTTACCTTTAAGTTGTGTTTAACATTATGAACTTGTGTTTTGCAGTTAACTTTGTCGGCTTTAAACTTGTTGGACTGTGACATAACATCTAAGGTATGCACATACCACATGTACTGTATAATTGAATCCTGTCTACTACTACTTGTTTAAACTTATTGGATTTGGTCGTATGAGATTTAAAGCCATTTTTACTATAAAGTTACATGTGAAGTTGATGAATTTTCGATTTATTCTAGAGTGATCCGATGGCTGTCATGTATTTGAGGAAAAAGGATGGGAGACTTGAGGAAATTGGTCGTACTGAAGTTATACTTAACAGCTTGAATCCAAAGTGGATTGAGAAGATAACAGTCTCTTTTCAGTTTGAAGCTGTCCAGACATTAGTGTATGCCACTCTGAACAATTCTTTTCTGATGAATTACACTTGTTGAACTCATGTTTAAACTTATATGACTCTTTTTCTTCTCAGTTTCCACGTGTATGATGTCGATACAAGATATCACAATGTGCCAGTGAAGGTAATATTTTCATTGATAGTAAAATCCGGTGGATAAGATGTTTGCATTTTGATTATAATTGTTACACCTTAAAAATGGTTTCAATATACTGTATAACCCTACAGACATTAAAGCTGAAGGACCAGGATTTCTTGGGAGAAGCCACATGTGTTCTGTCCGAGGTAAATTTATTCAATAATCAGATACTGCTACTCGTGATGGCTTCATTGTTGCTTGGCCATTAGTTTCTGTTACTGCTCTTTGTGTACGACATATCTTATATCTTCCATGTACGTCCCTCTTTCAATCACCAGATTATGACAAGACCTAACCGGACAGTGACATTAACTCTTACTGGCAATGTTAGAGCTGGTGTGAATAGAAATTTGGGAACACTCTCTGTCCAAGCTGAAGAAACAGTTGCTTCTAAAACTGTCGCTGAGATTAATTTTCGCTGTGTCAATTTGGATAACAAGGACTTGTTCTCTAAGAGTGTACGTATAAACTTATGCATTCTTGTCCTCCAGGTAATAATATTAAGATTTCTTGCAGAAGTTTTAACCTATCATCTTATTATCTCTTTCTAGGATCCTTTCTTAAGAATTTCAAGAATTGTTGAGACAAGTGCTGCAGTCCCAATTTGTCGGACTGAGGTAGTGGACAACAACCTCAATCCCATGTGGAGGCCTGTGTGCTTGACTATGCAGCAATTTGGAAGCAAAGTAAGCTAGTTGTTTTACTGTAATTCAATGTATTTGAAGTAATCATTATGTTAAATTGCTTGTTTTGCTTATGCAGGACACCCCATTGGTTATCGAGTGCTTTGATTTCAATACTAGTGGGAATCATGAGCTTATTGGGTAACATACCTTTAACCTTCTACCGGGTCTCACCATATTTTGATTTTGTTACTGACAATCATACTGAACCTTGCAGAAAGACAGAGAAATCTGTAGCAGAATTGGAGAGACTTTGTCTCCAGAAAGAGGCTGCAAACTTTGTCTATCCATCTCTTAGGGGCAACAAGGTGCCTACTCTTACCACTTGATTGAAATCTTAATACAGTTATTTGCATCTGTTTTCGTTAAGATTTTTTGGGGATTTTGTAGGTTCTGAAAGGCCAGCTCATCGTGGATCGTTATGTGGAGAAAGTCCAGTACAGTTTTCTTGATTACATATCTAGTGGCTTTGAACTTAATTTCATGGTTGCAGTTGACTTCACTGGTGATTCACCTTCTTCTACTTTATATATCTTATTTTGTTACTTAGAAACCTTGAGTTTTAAGATTGATGGTCTGTCTTCCAGCTTCAAATGGCGATCCCCGAACTCCAAGTTCTTTGCACTACATTGATCCATCAGGCAGATTAAACTCATATCAGCAGGTACTATTGTTACACCTTCAATTCTTTTGTATGGAACCAGTTTTTTGTTTGCGATCTGTATCATCAATACCAATACATTTCTTGGACTAGAAGTTCATGATTAGTTCTCTCGCAAATGGCTAATGAAATAACATAGATTTGGCTGAGTATAAGACCATCGTCTCATTGCTGCTTTTTCAGTCTGGTGATTCTCCCTTGATCTATCGTATGTATAAACATAATTTGGCTTCTATTAAACATAATTTGGCTTCTATTATTTTCCAGGCTATTATGGAAGTAGGAGAGGTCATCCAGTTTTATGATTCTGATAAGCGGTTTCCTGCCTGGGGTTTTGGAGGAAGAACATCGGATGGTTCTGTGTCCCATGCTTTCAACTTGAATGGAGCTTCATATGGCGACGAGGTAACTTGCGAGACAGAAAAATTGTTCTCCCTTATTTATTGGATCTGATATTGTGTTCATACTGGTGTATATTATTACAACTAGATTATAAGGAACTTTTGTCTCTTTTCTTATTTCAGAACCATGAAACATTGCATTCTCAAAATTACATGTTAAATGTCACATAGCTTCATATTCACTTTTCGTTTTTAGGTTGTTGGAGTTGAAGGAATCATGGCAGCTTATGCGAGTGCTCTTCGCAATGTTGCTCTAGCAGGACCAACTCTATTCAGCCATGTGGTCGACAAGGCTGCTCATACTGCTTCTCAGTCACTCTCACAAAACAGTCCCAAGTACTTTGTTCTGCTCATCATTACGGTAAGAGACTGAAAACTCAGATACGTAATGTGCATCTGTTACTAGTGAATCTATAGCTTCTTTTTTTGTCAAGAATCTATAGCTTCAATGTCAAAAAATTTGGATGTGTGAACAGGATGGAGTCCTTACAGACATGGCGGGTACAGTAGACGCATTGGTGAGAGCTTCTGATCTCCCGTTGTCAGTTCTCATTGTCGGTGTGGGAAGCACAGACTTCAAACAAATGGAGGTACAAGTTTTGTTTTGTCAAGTTAGTTTTTTACTCTTGTCTCTTTGCAATAAGTAAACTTGCAGTGACTTAACCGTGTAAATCTTTCAGATGCTTGATGCTGATAATGGTCGCCGGTTAGAGAGTTCTACTGGTCGGATAGCTACACGGGACATCGTTCAGTTCGTCCCTATGAAAGACATCCATAGTGAGTTTTAAATTTCTTCGTCTACAAATTTTCTGTACATCATATAAAAAGGCATGCTTACATAGGATAGTGTCAAGTGTTTAGATGCGTTTAGGATGGTAGTAAATGTTGAATTTGGTGTGGGTGCAGGTGGACAAGTGTCGGTGGTGCAGGCACTTCTAGAAGAACTTCCCGGCCAGTTTCTGAGCTATGTCCGGTCCAGAAATATTAATCCGGTCGGAGCTCCAGCGATTTGAAGTTCACCAGCATAGCCTAGTCTCTTTTTAGATTCTCTGTTTTTTTCTTGCGTAGATTCATTTTATGGTCACCTTATTACCATCATGTTCTCAATTTACTTGGGTTGGAAAAAACAAATTAAGGTTTGTTAGAAAGAAAGAGAAAACATATCAAAATTTGCTAAATGTATATATATATTAGCTTATTTGCATCACAATAGTTTTTTTTTTGCATATATGGCATGTGAGAACATGAAATAAACTACTGACGCATCAAATATAAAACTGCCTAGATACGTTGATGAGATATCAAAATGTTAAGTTATCGCTGTATTGAGCTTTGTATTAAGCAAGAAAAAAAAAAAAAAAAAACATACGATTTATCTCTCAGATTCTCAATTGACGCATGATTTCAAAATTAGCCAATTAATAATTTTTAAAAAAAAAAACAGTGAGAGTTGGAGATGCGGGGGATCGAACCCCGTGCCTCTCGCATGCAAAGCGAGCGCTCTACCATTTGAGCTACATCCCCATCTTGTTAATCTTTCTAAATTTACTCCGATAATCTATAACAGTTTTCAAAGACACAATTCTTAAGATAACAAGAATTGCAGGGGAGGGTAATTCAGGTGAGAACCAACAGATGAGGGTTAATTATTAAGTTAATTCAGGATTACCATGACTTGGATCCAAACCTAATGAGTTTTACTTCTTGAGTGAAAACTAGCAAAATCAGACTAATGAAATCGATACATAATAAAAGCAATGGTTAGGCTTATCCAAGGTTATATGTATTTGCAAAAAAGTTTCACATATGCCTTGCTTGTGTTCCAACCAAACACAGGCTTTGCAAATGTTTGTGGGTTGATATATTGTTAATTCAGTCCCACTGATACATGATCACTCCGAAATGTAATATCATTCAGTAATTAAACATACTTAGGTAATAGCCATATATTTAAGCTTTTAAGCAAATCTGATCCCCTAAAAAAACACCAACAGGGTCTATTTTACAAGTTCGGAATCGAAACAACAGAAACAGAACTAAGAAGAAACTCAGAACTCCTGAGAAGCAGATCCAATATCTCCTTTGTTCTTGCCAACCTTGGAAGGCAAAAGATTCTGATGAATATTTGGCAAAACTCCTCCATTCGCAATCGTCACACTTCCCAGAAGTTTACTCAGCTCTTCATCGTTCCTCACTGCAAGCTGAATGTGTCTTGGTACTATACGTGTCTTCTTGTTATCCCTCGCTGCGTTCCCAGCAAGCTCCAACACCTAGACCAAACCAAATCAAAATCAAATCAGTACAAGATCCAATTCAGATATGACCAAATCGAAATCGAGAAGCCAATTGGAAGACAGGAATGATTAATTACCTCAGCGGCGAGGTACTCGAGAACAGCGGAGAGATAGACCGGAGCTCCGGCACCGACACGCTCGGCGTATTTACCGGCTTTGAGGAATCTGGCGATTCTTCCGACTGGGAATTGAAGACCGGCTTTGGACGAACGAGAGACGGATTTGGTGGCCTTTGGCTTTCCTCTGCCACCTTTGGTTGTTCCACTTCCTGCGCCTGAACTCATCGTCTTCTTCGAAGGTTTTTGAAGAAAATTTAGCAGAATTCGAAGAGAAATGATAAGTGTTAATGTTCTAGCCTTCTGGGAATAAAAATGTTGAGTGCCTTTAGGGTTTTGCTGTTCTCCATATATAGGCTGAAAAGGTTAATTCTGATTGGTTGGACTTTAGATCACGCGGATTGCTAGCGTGGCACATCATCTAGCCTTTCAATTATTATGTGATATATGGTCCGTACATCTTTTTTTATGTTTTGAAAGTACAAAAAATAATATTATTTTTAATTGAAAAGTCCTCCACTTTTGACCATTCTATAATTTTAGACCCTGAATTTTACTCTGTTATTCAAAAACCCTCCGTCGCAAAAACTCTTAAACAGATTCGTTAAAACAAATGTTAACAGTTAAACTCAAAATTATTTTAGCGCTTCTAAAATTATTATACTACATCAATACATTTATTGCAGATTGGTCTTCCCAAGGTCTTGATGGATATTATTAGCTGTAGAATCATGAAAAGTTACTTTTATGCAATTAACTAGTCATGGTTTATCTGGAGAATTATTCGTGCTGGTTAGCACAAAAAAACTACAAACACTAATGTGGCTAATTAATCACAGATTAAAAAGTTGTTATATATAGTTGCTTAATTACAAAATTTTAGAGCAAATCGTTTTGTGTGTCGCTCATCTCCTCCTTATAGCAGCTGTCGGATGTTGTCATGAAGCCTCTTCCTTGAACTCGACTTTACGATTTTTGGGTCAAGATTCAAGTCTCCTCCGGTGCTCTGTCTTTAAAGGGCATGTTATGATGGAATATAAATTACCTATTTATAGTATAAATCTTTGTGCATATCTTAGATTTACCAATATACTCACATGAACATGATGTAACCTCTATTGATCAAGCAACAAGGTTTTTTTTTTTTTTTTTTTTTTTTTTTTTTTTTTTTTTTTTTGTCAAAGGCAACAAGGTTAAAAATCAATATATTATATATAGCCGACATAAAGAGATCTCTATATCTTACTATATATAGAATAGTATTATTGAGCTAGTCAAAAAATATCTATAACAGTTGTTCACATGGGACACGACCAATGAGTCAATGCCAAATAAAAGCTTGAAGAGTGAAGGCTATTAAAGAACACAGAAAAAGGAAAAAAAAAAATAGGAGGAAGAGCAAAGAAGATGGAATCTGGAAGTATGAAAACACCTTTGGTGAATAATCAAGAAGAAGCAAGAACCTCTTCTTCCATAACTTCTGGTCTTCTTCTCAGTACCTCTGTCGCTGTCACTGGGTCCTTCGTTTATGGCTGCGCTGTGAGATTTCATCAACTCTCTTTTGCTTTTCTTTCATTTTATTTTTCCGGTGATTTTGGATTTCATCATCTCAATTAACATGCCTAAGATTTGATAAAAAC